AAAAAAATGGAAAAAAAACAAGGAAAGAAAAGAAAAGAAGTACAATCTAGTTATGTATGCAGTGCATTTTATTCGTTTATGATTACAATTATATTGAATATGTTCATCTGTAAATTGTGTTTATTTATTTAGAACTACAACGATTTTAATATAAAAGTAGAATAAAGTTTTACATAGACGTAGCGGGTAAACGAGCAACAAGTTGTGCCGTAACCTTTTTTGAATGACAAAATTGATTCTTTTAAAAACAACATCCATAGATATTGGGCTCATAACATTACTTGGATGACTTGTTGGACTCTATTGAGGAACTCTACAACTTCTGGCGCAAGGAAACTAAAAGTATCAAATGCAAAAGGTATAAACGTGTGTTGATTTTTCATGCATGTTTTCTCATGTTTTGCCAATTTGCATGATGCAACTTACCCCACAGTGAAAACTCCACTCCCCAAGCTCACAAGAAGGGAAGCCCATGTTAGATTTACGCATGCATGCTTCCCTCTAGCCCATGCAAATATTAAGTGTTAATATTCCTTCCAATGAGTCAGTCAGAAAGTTCACAGATGCCTCTTTCTTGGCAGAAACCCCAACACATCAACATATATCGAAAAAAAAGTCCCTAACCAAATCGTGTCGGTACTTGAAACTCGGAATCTCTTTACAATGAACTACATGCTCCCCCCAAATGAGTCCAACCATGCCTTACGACAAACAGAGCAAGTCTCATCAACCGGAAATAAAGGAATCATAAAGCGATACTTGATGATGACATGATACTCCACTGACAACACATGATGGCCAAGGCCGTCAATAGGAATAGTAATAAGAAATTCCTAAGCATGCGGGACCCTTAAACACTCAAAAATTACTTTCTGTCTAATCGTCATGTCGAAATGAACTTCCATGTTCTGGATAATTTTATTAAAAATGACACTCACAAATAAATATTGAGCTTTCGAAGAGACGGTATCTTTATTAGTGAAACTGTTGAAGTCAACAGTATTTATATATTCTTGTATATATTATTCATTCATATATGATTACAAATATTTCGATGATATAAAAAACTTTATTCAATATATTTGATAGTTGCTCGATACAAATAAATAAAAAAAATAAATTCTTTTTTTAAGGATAGGTTAAATAGTAATATTTTAATTTCCGTAGTTAAAAAGGTAAATTTTTTATCACTTAAATATGATTTATAATTTTGAAAACTAAAATTATTAATTAAATATGATTTATTAATGAATAATAACATAATAATAATAATAAATATAATATAGATAATTAGATATCACCATAAACCAAAGCCTGTCTCGAGGCTGCGCGCACCAGAACTGAAGCATATAATCCTGTCATTTTTGATTTCCGAGCAAACCAAAAAACAATTCTATCTCTCTTTCTCCTTTTTGAATCTCTCTCTCTCTCTCTCTCTCTCTCTCTCTCTCTCTCTAAAACACTTCATCTTCTTGGTCTCAACAACTTAAAAAATGTTTAGGGTTTCCCTCTCATTCTATCTTCACTCCTCCATCCCAGCTCTCTAATGCTGCCTCTGTTGGCTCTCTTCTTCTTCACAGCAAGAACCCAAAGAAAGAGAGCCTTAAACCCCCTTTCATTTTTCTCCAATTTTGCAGGATTATCATTTCCTTGCAAGTTTTAAATATATTTATCTTGTTTTTTCTTAATCTTCCTTCATTATTATTGTTATTATTTTAAGTTTATTTATGGAAAAGACAAAGATTTCCCAGGTTGTTTAGAAACCAAGTGAGGTAAGCAACTCTTTCCTTTTCTTTTCTCTTTCTCCCTTTTGATTTTGCAAAGATTTTGAAGGGGATTATGAGGAAAGCAAAGTGAAGTCGGTGATTTTTTTGAGCTTTTGTGGGTGGTTATAAGTTATTAATTCTACCCACAGCTTCATCATAAGAAAAAAAACTGATTATTTTGTCTGTATATTGGTCATACATAACTTTCCCTTTTCTAAAATTTGGCTCTATGAACTGAAAACCCTCCAAAAAGCAACGGGTACTCTTTCTTTATTGTGATCCTTGTCTCTTCAAATCCTCGGTTTTTGTTTTCTTGCATCATCTATCTATCTTCTCTCTCTACCTATACCCATATCTGTAAAGAACCACAAGAAGTTACAATAATTAAGCTTTTTGTAGTTGGGTTTCCTGAAATTTGGTACAAAATGGCGATGGTTGCTCAACATCAACAGCACATGGAGACGACAAGCAGCAGCAGCAGCATGAAACACCAGCTGGATAACGGGAAATACGTAAGGTATACCGCCGAACAAGTTGAAGCTCTTGAAAGGGTTTATTCAGAGTGCCCAAAGCCAAGTTCTCTGAGGAGACAACAATTGATCCGAGAATGCCCTATTTTATCCAACATAGAGCCCAAACAAATCAAAGTTTGGTTTCAAAATCGCAGGTGAAATTGAGAAAAGGGTTTGTTTGTTTGTTTGTTTGTTTTGTTATCAATTGTTTATTTATATTCTTTTATGCAAATTAGGTATCTTCTTTTCATGCTGTTAACCTCACATAGATCTTTCATTCACTCGAATCTATACATGCCCTCGATTCCCGAATCCAAGATTCGTATATATTAATCAGTTTTTTAAATAATATTTCTTAATTTTGTTATTTTCCCACCAATTCAGATGTCGGGAGAAGCAACGAAAAGAAGCATCTCGTCTCCAGACAGTGAATCGGAAACTGTCCGCCATGAACAAGTTGTTGATGGAAGAGAACGATCGCCTGCAAAAACAGGTCTCTCAGCTTGTATATGAAAATGGACATATGCGCCAACAGTTGCACACTGTAAGCTAACTGCTTTTTTTTTTTTAATAAATCTTTCAACTTGTATACTTAATCATATAATCAACCATGATTTATTGATATTATTCAGGCTTCAGCTGTTACAGACGCAAGCTGTGAATCTGTAGTTACCACCACCCCCCAGCATTCTCTTCGAGATGCTAATAACCCAGCTGGGTAATGATTAATGAATGGCAATCTTGTAATTTTATGACGTGAGTTGTTTTTCAATTCGATCATCTTATTATACATCTTCTGTACATTTCCTCCCCAGACTCCTCTCGATCGCAGAGGAAACTTTGGCAGAGTTCCTTTCGAAGGCTACAGGAACTGCTGTCGATTGGGTCCAGATGCCTGGGATGAAGGTTTGTGAATTATATTTATTTTATTAAATAAAAAATTAATTAATCTCCGTTCTTTTTTTTTTTAATAATTATTTTTGATTATGTTGTTCCAGCCTGGTCCGGATTCGGTTGGGATCTTTGCCATTTCACAGAGTTGCAGTGGAGTGGCAGCTAGAGCCTGCGGTCTTGTAAGCTTAGAGCCCACAAAGGTAAAAACAAAAAAATTGTTCTTTCTTTTTTAAAAAAAAATATAAATTATAATCCAATTTGTTTACTTTAATATTAAATTGGTTTTCATCAGATTGTGGAGATCCTTAAAGACCGAACATCTTGGTATCGAGACTGTCGGAATCTTGAAGTTTTGACAATGTTACCCGCCGGAAACGGTGGAACTATCGAACTTGTATACACGCAGGTAAACCAAACAACTTAATTAATCTTTATTTTTTTCAATAAAAAATAAATAATAAAAACTAATCTTAACTTTAGGTCTATGCACCAACTACATTAGCTCCCGCACGGGATTTCTGGACTCTGAGATACACTACAAGTTTAGACAACGGTAGTCTTGTGGTAAGTATCATTTTTCTTCCATTCCATGATATACAAGAACAAGATTCAATTGTTTGATTTTGATTTTGATTTTGAGAATTTGTGTTGTTTTTACATTTAGGTCTGCGAGAGGTCTCTTTCGGGTTCCGGTGGTGGCCCACATGCTGCCCCATCTGCCCAATTTGTGAGAGCGGAAATGCTGCCTAGTGGGTACTTAATTCGGCCCTGTGATGGTGGAGGTTCAATTATTCACATAGTTGATCACCTTAATCTTGAAGCATGGAGTGTGCCAGAAGTTTTGCGTCCACTTTATGAATCATCCAAAGTTGTAGCACAGAAGTTGACAATTGCAGTCAGTGGAGTTTTCTTATTTCATAACTTCAGTTTTCATAGGCCCAACCCGGCCCGTTTAATTTAATTCATTTTTAATTTATAAATGTAGGCATTGCGGTATATCAGACAAATAGCCCAAGAGTCGAGTGGTGAAGTTGTTTATGGACTCGGTAGGCAGCCTGCGGTTTTGCGTACCTTAAGTCAGAGATTAAGCAGGTATAATTATAATTATAAATATAATCTTGTCCAAAATAATTAAATAAAATTTAAAAAAAAGTTGATGGTTTTAATTCAACAGAGGTTTCAATGATGCGATCAATGGATTCAATGATGACGGGTGGTCATTAATGAACTCTGATGGTGCTGAGGATGTGATTGTCGCGATTAATTCAACCAAGAATTCAAATTCCCTCTCGTTTCTTGGAGGGGTTCTTTGTGCAAAGGCCTCCATGCTGTTTCAAGTGAGTGTTGTGTATCGACTAAAACGCCCCTCGTTTTGATTAGCGTCTTACATTTTCTTTGAATATTTTTTTGTTCTAGAATGTACCTCCGGCTGTTTTGGTAAGGTTTTTACGGGAGCATCGATCGGAATGGGCCGATTTCAATGTGGATGCTTACTCTGCTGCTTCAGTGAAAGCTAGCCCGTATGGGTATCCCGGGATGCGGCCCACGAGGTTTACCGGGTCCCAGATTATAATGCCACTTGGCCAGACAATTGAACATGAAGAGGTAATGAGAGATAAACCCTAAATCTTGATGTTGATGAAACCCAATCTTGAATCTAAACATGTGTGATGACTGATATATATGTAACAGATGCTTGAAGTTATTAGACTCGAAGGTCATGCAGTTGGTCAAGAAGATCCATTTGTGTCAAGAGACATTCATCTCTTACAGGTTTACTTTATTAAATTCGTTAGAATTTAAATTTATTTTTAGTCTTGTATCTAATTTTTTTATTTAAAATTTTGGTAGCTATGTAGTGGAGTCGATGAGAATGCAGTGGGAGCTTGTTCTGAACTTATATTTGCTCCAATTGACGAGATGTTTCCGGATGATGCGCCCCTTATACCATCCGGTTTCCGGATCATTCCGTTAGACCCGAAATCAGTTGAGTTTGACGCTTTGACTGACCTCGGTCTTTTCTCAATTTTGACTTTTGTTGACCGAACCGATTAATTTTGACCAGGGTGATTTAAAGGATGCATTGGCGACAACGCATCGGACCACCCTTGACTTGACTTCGAGTCTCGAGGTGGGCCCATCAACGAACCATGGCCCGGCCGATACATTGACCACAAGATCGGTGTTGACCATCGCGTTCCAGTTTCCTTTTGAGAATAATTTATCTGACAGCGTGGCAACCATGGCTCGCCAGTATGTCAGAAGTGTCATCAACTCTGTACAGAGGGTAGCCATGGCGATATCTCCTACAGGAATGAGTCCATCACTGGGCCCTAAGGTATCTCCTGGTTCACCCGAAGCAGTTACTCTAGCTCAATGGATCTGCCATAGCTATATGTAAGTTTCTTAACATCGTCAACCTTAAGAACAACAAAGAAACGTAAGTGTGTTGTTTTGAGTTTTGATAGCCTGTTTGTGTCAGGTATCATTTGGGGTCGGATTTGGTGAGTTCTGGTTCAGTTGCTGGGGAGTCGTTGTTGAAAGATCTTTGGCAGCATCAAGATGCTATTTTGTGCTGTTCGTTGAAGGTACAATGAGTTAGATATGATGAGCGTTTGTTTATGTTGTGAGAAGTGAGACATGGATGATGATGATGATGATGATGATGATGAGTCTTGTGGTTTGGTTTTGTTTGGTTTGTAGTCGCTTCCGGTTTTTATATTTGGGAACCAGGCGGGTTTAGACATGTTGGAGACGAGTCTTGTGGCTTTGCAAGACATCACATTAGACAAAATGTTTGATGATGCGGGTCGGAAGGCGCTATTTCCAGAATTTGCCAAGATAATGCAACAGGTATGTATGTATGATTTGTGAATTATCGTGGCTTTCGAAGTTTTTTTCTAGAATCTAAAAGTTTAGGGGTTTTTTTTAGGGTTTTGCGTATTTACCTGGTGGGATTTGTATGTCGACAATGGGGCGTCATATTTCATATGAACAAGCTATCGCTTGGAAGGTTCTTGCAGCTGATGAATCGACGGTTCATTGTCTTGCTTTCTCCTTTGTGAATTGGTCGTTCGTGTGAGGCAACCAATCAATCACTTCCTGAGTTTGGTATGTAAAGACGTGTTAATTGGGGCGGGGGAAAGTGATATGATGTTATTTTTGTGTTGAATTGGTGATTTGCTTAATTTAATGCCGTTTCAGTTCCAGATTTTAGTGTGATCTCATCTGGTTTTAGACTTTTAATTTATGATCCAAAATACTATTTAGACAAGCCTACTAACTCAGACATGTAGGGATGGGCAACACGTTAATCTGAGTTGGAGGCCTGATAACGCCACCATAACGGGCAGCACACCGTCCCCTATTATGTTATTTGATGTTAAGTTAAAAAATGTTATTATGGTCACAAGAAGTAATGTGAGTATTAACCAATCAAAAGCCACTCTTTCTCTCTCTCTCAACATGTTATAACGCATATTATTTCCTATACAAATCAAATGGTGTTAAAGATGACATGATAATATGTTTTAACTAATTGCTCATATCCGGTGGTCTCAATACTAAGCAGGTTATAACATTGTGCTCACCTAAATACGTGTAATGCAGGATAATTTTATGTAAAACGGACATGATATGATATGATGTGTTTTTTCAATCAACATAAAAAAGAATCAATTGTAAAACGATTAACACAATAAAGATAACATACAAATCAAAAATAGTTTATTTAATTAATATTTAATCACAAATAACACGGCAAAGTGACAAACATGACAAACAAATATAAAATTGTAATTTTGTATCGAATTTTGAACATGAACATATAGCATGATACACGACGTTTTACATTTGACAAGAATTTGAACTTCAATTCCATCCAAAATTTGTTTCGTGTCATATCATTAATTGTTACCTATAATCTCATCTCTATCCCTCGAAGCAGGGAAGGTCCTAGACAATTTGTGGCTCGGGGCAAAAAAAAAAAAATTAAGGTGCTCATTGTTTTTTGTTTTTTTGTAAAAGAGGGCGGCACTTCCGGAAATTTTATTAATTAAAAAAAATAATACAATTGAAGGCTGGGGCTCCGCACCTAGGGAAAGAAAAGACTTTGGGACAGGCCCGTAAGCCAAACAACCTAACAACTATAAATACAAAACAATAAAATAAACAAAGCAGAACATGCTCTAAACCTTAATACATAAACGTATCAAAGAAAAAATATAGAAATTTACATTTACCAACTTTTTTGGATACAAAGTTATCAATTATAGAATCAAGTTCAATATTATCCAACAAATCTTTTTCAATGCATAACATGGTCAAACCATTTATTTTTTCTTATGATATTGATGATCTCAGATAACTTTTTTTTAATAATTTTAGTTTTGAGAAAAATTTTCTACTGATGCTACATAAACAAATATGATTAATAATATTATATATCCATCATTCGCTAAAGAAATGTTATTGACATAATTATTAGGTCTAAACAATTTAAAACTAAAACAAAACACTCTATCAACTTTTTTTGAGTAAATTAGCCATTTTCGATCACTCGTCTTAACATTACTTAACTTTCTAGTATAAGAAGCATAAGAAACATGTCTAGATAGATTATCTTTAGGATATAAGAAATTTGATTTTCTTATTGGTCATTTTTCAATCAAAATATCTCTTAAATTATCATCAAGATCATCCCAATTACTAGGATCATACATATCTAAAGACGGAATACATAAATTGTTCATTGTTATAATTCATGACATTTTCAGTATTGACATTAACATCTTTATTATTATAATTTTCATCATCAATATCAAAACATTTTCATTTGAAACTTTTTCTTTTGAAAGAGTTTCATTCAAGACATTATCTTGCTCATTAAAAACAGTTTCATGTGTGAGATTATCTTGTTCATTTACTTGTACATCAGAAGAATTTAAAAAAAAAAAAAAAAAAAAAAAACTTGTGCATAGATCCTTTTTGAGTTTCATTATCTTGTTTAATTTTTTGCTTTTTCTTTCGTTTTTCACTTCCAGACATATACTTTCTAGGATGCATATCCAGTAGAGTAATAAGAGGCAATAAGGCAAACAATAAGCAAACAAATAATAAATAATAAAAGAAGAGTTCTTGTTCTGTGTACCTACTATTGATAATGATGCCTTGATGGTAAATTGTTGATGTTGTTAGCCTTTAAACAACCTCTAAGCAATTGCTAAATGGCAACTGAAATAGACCCACAGTTACAATAGAAAATTCTGAAGTTAAAAAAAATCATATTAAAAATATTAGCTTTAAACAACTGAAATTAAGCAAATGAATAATAAATTATCTTTGAAACAAACCGAGAAGGCTACTTACAGAGTTAGAGTTAGTGAGTTACAGGATTCACAATCACACAGTCAGAATGTCATATTCCTGGATTCTCAGATTCTACATAACATAAAATTATGAAGATTAGATTCATAAAAAAAATACAAAATCACAGAAAAATAAGAAATTTGAATGCTAGAAATTAGAACTTACAGAAAAAATAAAGAAGAAGATTCACAACCAGCGAGACCACGATTTCGATGGGATTAATACTACTTCGTGTCTTCGTCTGTGACTACAGATTATCAGTGGTCTGTCACAAAGTCTCAATGGTCTAGTTCTATATCGAGTCAATTGATATTGAGGAAGAAATCGAAGAAATCTGACTATTAAGACCGTTGCTTACCTTAGAATTCGGAGAAAATGTTTGGATTTTCCATAACCGATCATTGAAGACTTAATTTTGCCTTGGAAGTCGGACATTACTTATCTCTCGCTCTCGCATGCCCTAGTCGTTCCTGATTCCTCCCGCTTTCTTTTTGGTTGTCGCTGATAAGAGACAAAGAGTATTTATGTATTGGGCTTCAATAATCAAAGTCCCATAAGATTAAACCTAATGGACTAATGCTATATAATTAATATAAGATATATAAAATGGGGACCCTTTGGCATTTGGAGGCCCGGGGCGGTCGCCCAGCTTGCCCAGGCCCATGTGTGACATTTCCATTTTCACGGTCAGAAAAGACCGATTTTGTTTATGTTTATAAAAATCAGAATACTTCTTTTCATAAAAAATGTTGCGGAATTTGTTCTCAGAAAAATACGATAAATACGTTATCAAAATATTTTCGAAGAAACGTATTTTATTCATTTTAAAACGTTTGGGATACCATCGTCAATACAGAAACATAAGCATAAATAGAACTTACATTTATTTACACTAGTGATCTACATTTCTGTAATCTCTCAGTGTAATGTGACTTCATATCAACACCTGTGATATAAATAAACTGAGTGGGTCAGGTTGGGAAACCTGGTGAGTATATAGGGTTTTCAACCCACAATAATATAATTATTATGTTTAAACAATCAACCCATTTACCCATTAACCATCCCCATTATCTTCTTTAATCTTAAGGATCTACCCTAAGAATCAGCTATTCCTCGTTTATTCATTCCTAAGGATCATCCTAAGGAATCATCACAAAGTCCATCGTTGTCATGGTTTACACAACAGGCACTAAGTCTGCATAGTCACCAGGGTTTAGGCATCAAGTCTGCATGATCACCAAGGTTTAGGCATCAAGTCTGCATGATCACCAGGGTTTAGGCATCAAGTCTGCATGATCACCAGGGTTTAGGCATCAAGTCTGCATGATCACCAGAGTTTAGGCATCAAGTCTGCATGATCACCAGGGTTTAGAGTACACCCGATGAACACATCGTTCACAACACCTACAAGTTGCGAGCCTGCTAGTGTTCCACTGGACTGTCTAGAATAGTCCGTGGTTGTCATCCATACTCTGCTGAATGACGGGGCCATCATTTGGGAAAAAGGCTTCTCACATCGTCCACCTCTCACCCTCACCTCGTGGTCTATAACACCTCTCAACTCATCATTCAACTCATATTCCATCTATTATATCCACCCATGTTTACGCCAACATTATCGTAGATATAAAATACATATACAGTTTAAATCATTTAAAACATGTATAAAATCGTTCATTTAGTATAGACAACAAGTACTCAGATAATATGCACACATAGCACGTAATTTATATAAAATACTTCATATATATGTGTAAGATGAAAGTAACTATGCACTCACTTGAAAAGGTGGTGATTCCGAACTCAGACAACGCTTCACTTCTTGAAAAAAAATAATTTTCTTCGACGAAACCTACTATTATTACCACTAGAGTTTAGTCTATTATTCACCGATACTAATTAATAGTCTAGATATTATTACTATTATATAACTATTAAATAATACTTATATAACCCATAATAATAGCCCAATTACTTATTATATGTTCTTAATAACGTTAATACAATTAAATAAAAACTATATTAAAAATAGTGTAGGCGTAGCTCACTTACAGCGGGTTTTATAGAAAACCAGGCTTTGCTTGGAGCAACATTCCCATGCGGAAAAGCTCTTCTTCTCGGAGCTGTCGAGCACTTAGGGGCTTCCGCCTTGCGCTAGGGAAGTTCCCTAGGCTTTTCGGGGGGGTTTTGGGGCTAGAGAGAGGTTCTAGAGAGAGAGTAAAGAGAAGAAAGAATGAGAAAGGTGTGAAGAAAATGAGGGTGACAGAGGTTATATTTATAGGGTGAAAATGGCTGAACTTGGTGCCACATATCACCATCTAGTGGCAAGACTTGGGGAGAAAGCAATGGTCAAAATTGTGCCACATCACCCATTTTCGCACAACACCCTTCCGACTTCTAAAATCCGTAACTTTCACATACGACCTCCGTTTTTGACGTTCTTTATATCCACGCGTAGGTAAAAATAATATCTACCATTTTTCATTTTGACTCCGTCGGCTAATTCTCGACTGATCTTAAATTTAACAGTACGAGGCATTTAGACTGTTAAATGACCGCGAAGAATTCGTAACTCCTTCATACGGACTCTGTTTTCGTCTATCTTTTTACTGTTAAGTTCCTATTAATGAGATATTTAACTCTCATTTAAGTCACATAAGCCAAAAACTGCTCGAACTAAAATTCGAGTTTCGGGCCGTCCACTGCTAAGCTGAATCTTAGAAAAATCATAACTTCTTCATACGAAGTCAGATTTGGGCGTTCTTTTTATGGATTTTCTCGGTTTAACATATTCTATGACTTTTATTTAAATCACTAAGGCTAAAAAGTCCTCCATCATAAAATCACTATTTACGCTTCCCGGTGCCGTGCCGGTTCCGTCGTGAAACTTTGACGGGTCATAACTTCTTCGTTATAACTCGGATTTCGACGCTCTTTATATGTACGGAAACCTTGTGACATATTCTACAACTTGGTTAAGATTATTTATTCTAAATAATCTTTTGTCGAAAAGTTATTTTCAACCCCTATTACTTCTAAATTGACTAGCTCGAATTTACGGGCGTTACACCATGGGCCGGCCCTGCCTCTAAGTGTAACGACCCAAT